GGTGTTTGTCCAACTTGTTTTTTAAAAGCTTCCACTAATGGGGACTCCGCAGCCTCCTTTGGAAGCCTATTCCAGAGCTTAACTATCCTTAGAGTTAGAAAGTTTTTCCTAATACCCAACCTAAATTTCCCTCGCTGCAGATTAAGCCCATTACTTAATGTTCTACCTTCAGTCGACATGGAGAACAATTGATCACTATCCTCTTTGTAACAACCCTTAACATATTTGAAGACTGCTATCAGGTCCCCTCTCAGTCTTGTTTTCTCGAGACTAAACATGCCCAGTTTTCTTAACCTTTCCTCATAGGTCAGGTTTTCTAAACCTTTTATTATTTTCGTTGCTCTCTTCGGGACTTTTCCCAATTTGTCCACATCTTTCCTAAATTGTGGTGCCCAGAACTGGACAGAGTACTCCAGCTGGGGCCTTTCAGTGCTGACTACAGCAGGACAGTTACCTCCCGTGTTTTACATACAACACTCCAGGCAATCACGCACTGGCCAGCAGATCCTCAAGTCAGTCCTCCTGTAAGCTGTGATCTTGTTCAAGCTGTGAGGTAGAAAGGGGTAATTTTCAATTACGGGATGCCAAGTAATTTTCTTCTAAAAATATTTAGTTTAGAGAAACAAGAAATGGTAGGCCAGCTCTCACTGTATCTCTTACTGCCAAATCTGGGAAAGCCACATCAAAAGATGGCATTATTGATACAGGCTACTCATGAGACTCTCTCAGGGGATGTGAGTCTCACTATTTTGTCCCAGGGTTCTTTTACATACCTTAGGGGACACCAGATTCAAGACTAAGCAAAATAATCACAGTTATTAACCATGGCTATTTATTATTACAAGAAGGAAAAGAAAACATTAGACAAACACAAATGATGAACTGGTTACTTCTATTACAATCTCTTCTGTATGCTTCTGTGGCGAGCTTTTAGCAGATATTACACCTTTGCGAATGGACTAGCTCTGAGATATTCTTCATTTGGTAAGTTAAGACCAAAGTATATTGTTTCCCAAAGTTATTGTGAACTAAGTCTTAGTATTTTATCAGATGTTTTATGTGTGGGCAAGACAATTTAAGGGCAGGTGGAACCTGGCTAATTATTAGTAACAACAACAATCACCACCAGCCAGTTTATAG